CCCCACTTTTACTGAACTGAAACCTTCCCCCTCCATTTGAATTCAGAGATATAATAACGGTAAACAACTTGCTAACTTAGTTTTCTTGATCTGCACTGTAAGTTACGGAACCTTGATTTTTTTCCCCTGCTCTAAATCACGCTGGGCCATAAATTCAAGCGGAAAAAATTGATCCGTAACTTACAGTACAGTCCTTGGACTCGGTTGACCAGAGTCGTGAGAGGAATGGTAACATACCCATAGAAGAAATCTGAGGCAAAATACTTGAAGAGTCTTTGAAATAGCATGAATGGATAATAACTGTACTTACCGCTTGGTAAAGATACATTGGCAGCCACATGTACATACAGTATCTGACTAACTTCACACAACAAGTAGCCCAGCTAAGTTCTGGGATCATCCTAAACACAAGTTAAAATGTTCAGATATGAGGCACTTACTGTACATCTCAATGGAATGCAATACAAATACACTTCAGAAACAGAGGTTTATGGCTTAAGGCCTGGGCCCCAGGAAGACTCATGGACGCTGACGACAAGGGACCAGTTATTCAAAGGGGCAGATAACATTATCCAATAGAAAAATCTCTATCCAGAGGATAAATGATGACCAACATCATTCCGCTATCCCCCAGTGGCTAGCATTATTCACCCTTTAAACAACTAGAGCCAGTAAAACACGGCAAAGCAAATATGAAGATAAAGGTAAAGTTTGTTTATTTATGAGCCAAGTGGGCCATCAGACCAGTGCGTAACTCCGGTTTCCATAGCATGAAGCGACTAGGAGTATTTCTACTCCCCCCTGTATCAGTTGCTACTCCATCGTAGGGTTACCCCGGCATTAAATTCACCAGTAACACATTAAACACCTGGGTGAATAGAGGCACCGTGAGAGTAAAGTGTCTTGCCCAAGTACACATCACGATGTCCCCGGCCAGGGCTCAAAACCTGGACCACTCGATCTGGAATCAAGCACACTAATCATATGAGGCCACTGCGCCTCCAAGGTAGCAAATGTTAAACCTCTGACCTTAAACTCCACAATTGAGCATAGCTGAGTTGAGCTTGTGTGTTAGCAGTTTCTGGAGTACTTGAAGGTGCTTCAGCTGATTCATCAAACAAACAGAGATAAGATATAAACTAAGGAAGTACGTGGTGTTGCCTTAAAAGAGGGTATCCCAATGTGATGTGGTTTTATCAACTCACTTGATTAAATGTTCACTGGCCACCATTTTTTTTTTTTGAGCTGACATTACAAGTGTTAGCCCTTGAGTGCTAACTCTGAGCTAAAGGGTCAACTAAGCCCTTTGCTGGTGCAAAAGAGCTGATAAAGGGTTCACACTCAAAAAATCAGCTTTGCCTGCCACGTTAATTCACAAAATCAACTCAGATAATGAACCAAATTAACCCGAGATAAGATGAAAGTAATTAAATAAAATGTGTTTTCTCCTCACACTTTCCATGCATTATCCCACGCACAGGTTTTGAGAATACAAAAGCATTATCAGCTAGATTAAGTTATCCTGATTAAATAGTAAATCCTCTTAATAAAACTAAATCTGATTGTATAGTGACTAAAAAGGAGAATTATTCATTTGATCTGGGCAGTTTAAGAATAATCATTCACCTGCATTTGCATCAGGAATCCCAAGCTCTGAAGGAGAACTGAGGAATAAGAAATCCAGAATACCAATGCTACCCTGTAAAAGGATATTACATGTAAAAGGTCTGTTTAGGACGTAAAACTCGTAGCCTGTCTTCCCACTTGGTGCCCCAAGTATTAGTGCCAGGGCACAGCACAAAATGGTGCTGTGTTCAGACACAGGCTACCCAACATATCAGTACAATGTCAAGACCTTGTACCCAGGCACAAACACAGTGACTGAACTCTGGGGTAGGTACTTGAAAAAAAAGGTGTGTTCACATTAGTGCCCATCAAAAATCGTACTTGGGCACCATGCTCAAGCACCAAGTGTGAACACAGTGCTAGCCTTAGACAACTTCAACGCTGACAGGCAAATTATAGACTGAAATGACAGAAGATCGTAGAAGAAGTTATGCAAGAAGGGAAGGTTGACTATTTGCATGTTGTCTGAGTTTAGTTTGTCAAATTTCAATGAAGGATTTTTATTTCTCAGAGGAACCTCTCTTATTGAATTTTTTTTCAAATTTCAATGAAGGATTTTTATTTCTCAGAGGATTCTCTCTTATTGAATTTTTTTCAAATTTCAATGAAGGATTTTTATTTCTCAGAGGAACCTCTCTCATTGAATTTTTTTCTCTTGTAAGAAAGGTTGTTAAACTTTTAACCCCTAAGTGTGACTGGTATCTAGTTTCTCCTGAAAATATCAACCTTAAATCAATACTGTAAGGTCACGAGAATAAACAAAATTATCACCAACTAAAGAAGCTCTTGATTGTTAAACAAATTCTCCTTGTCAGCACCTCAGGAAATGTATAGAGAACAGTATGGAGAATAAATATGCATACTCAAGAGTTAAATGACTTGATAGAAAGCCTACCACAATCACAGATGGAATGAAAAAGACCATTTTCATATCTGGACCAAACAAAGACAGCAGTTGAACCTGCAAGGAAAAAACACTTCCATTTGTTCCAAATAATAATGACTTGGAGAAATTTACCATCAAAAGAAAACTTCTCTTAACTCTTTAATTTTCATGAGTGACCACAACAGATATCAGTACAAAATCAAGAGACAAGTTGTAAGAATAAATAAAAATATTGTTTAATAACGGTAATTAGACTGAGCGGAGACCAATTCAATCTGTAACCATGGAAGTGAGTAACAAAAGCAGGAGTCCAGTTTGATTATCAGCAAGACATGATTACACAGACAGAACTGGACGACACAAAGTTTGGTTACCGATTAAAAACTATGCCATAATTTGAGAAAAAAAACTGAACATCCATTAAACATTTTCATAAAAAAGAAAACTTGGCAGATTGTGCAACAACAGCAGCACACATGATGCATTTTGTCCAGGCACATACACTAGCATGACACATTAAATTTCCCTTAACTGTCCTATTACACTGTCCAATAATTATTACAGTTGAACCTAGGTTATCTGGACCATTCGATTATCTGGACTTTCTTCTCTGGTCCCAATTTTTTCATGAATATTACTTAGTTGCCATGATCTTGAAAACTCAAAGCGATCAATTCAAGCTACAAGTCTTTGAAGTAAACAAACATGCTTGAACGTTTTAGACCTTTGTAAATACCTAAACTGAAAGTTTGTTTGTAAATACATACAGGCTGTGTAGATTTCACCATTAAAATGATGTTTTCTTTGCTGTATACCTTTTGTGTACATTTCTATCTCATTAAATTAATATTCATATTTTCAATTATCTGGACTCTCGATTATCCGGACTATTTATTGAGGTCCTGACGAGTCCGGATAACCAAGGTTCGACTGTACAAGCATGACACCTTAACTGTCCTATTAGTGCTCAAATCTGGCTGGTGATGACCAATCACATCAGAGAATTTTGCTTAACTAAAAGTACTGTTTTGATTAGGGGGATTATTGGTTGATCTAATTCCAAGTTCCCTGAACTAACATCATAAGAATTGTACGGTAAACAGTAGAGAGAGTTTCTGATGAGATCTTGGAAGTCAAACAGTTGACAGCAATACTTACAGCCATAGCTGTTCCTAGAATTCCTCCTGCAAAACTACTGGTGCCAAACAAACCAAAAATAGTCATCCTCTGCTGGTTGGTAAACCATCCAGTCAGTGATTTAACTGCATTTGGCCAGGCTGTAGACTGAGATGAACATTTGTTGTTAATTTAGTTATTACTAATGACATCTTTATTGTTAGTACTTTTGAGTATTTAAGGATTTGCACATTCAAGGTACTGGAGCAGAAACAATAGTACATAGGAATAAAGGCTGATAGTTTAGAAAGAAACTGTTTGGGGCTGCGTCGGTGGGGGTAACGAAATAATTTGGACATATCAACAAAGTTGAAATGGTAAATTGGCCACCGTAACGATTACAAAAGCTGACGTTTCGAGCGTTAGCCCTTCGTCGAAAGCCCTTTCGCTGCGACGAAGGGCTAACGCTCAAGACATCAGCTTTTGTAATCGTTACGGTGGCCAATTTACCATTTCAACTTTGTTGATATGTCCAAATTATTTCGTTACCCCCACCGACGCAGCCCCAAACAGTTTCTTTCTAAACTATCAGCCTTTATTCCTATGTACTATTGTTTCTGCTCCAGTACCTTGAATGTGCAAATCCTTAAATACTCAAAAGTACTAACAATAAAGATGTCATTAGTAATAACTAAATTAACAACAAATGTTCATCTCAGTCTACAGCCTGGCCAAATGCAGTTAAATCACTGACTGGATGGTTTACCAACCAGCAGAGGATGACTATTTTTGGTTTGTTTGGCACCAGTAGTTTTGCAGGAGGAATTCTAGGAACAGCTATGGCTGTAAGTATTGCTGTCAACTGTTTGACTTCCAAGATCTCATCAGAAACTCTCTCTACTGTTT